CGGAATTTGCCTTTGAATCTGTCTCTGAATTTGCCTTTTAATCTGCCGTTAAATCTGCCTCTGAATCTGCCTCTAAATGTGCCTCTAAATGTAACTCTAAATCTAAGTCCACCGCTGCCTCTGCCTCTGCCTCTGCCTCTAAATCTTCCCCTGAATTTGCCTCTGAATCTGCTTCTGAATCTTCCGCTTTATCTGGCTCCAAATTTGGCTCTAAATCTGCCTCTGCCTCTGCCTCCGCCTCTGATTATGCTTCTGCCTCTTCCTCTGTGCCTCTTCCTCTTCCTTTGCCTCTGCCTCTAAATCTGCCTCTAAATGTAAATCTGCCTCTGCCTCTGCCTCTGCCTCTCCCCTGCCCCTGCAGAGGCAGAGGCAGATTTAGAGGAAAAATTTCAGGAAGAATTAGAGGCATGTCGTACTGTCTACAATCTTCCCTTGTCCCGTGCTGCACTGTTCGTGGATACTGATCACACTCTGACCACACTCCAGTAAGGTAAAGATCTACGTGTAGCACTCCGTGTTGTGTTGCTGTTGAGTTTTCACTGCTGCACTCGGCCATGTCCTAGGCTGGAACTAGATAGCTAAAATGCAATGGACTATTCTTACCAAGCGGTTCCAATCTCGCTGTGATTTTTCCTGTGAAATTGCCTGCGTCCTTCAACCATTGTTACATCTGTCTTTTCAGCCTTGTTTTATGGTACCTTTTGTCAGTTTCTTCCAATGGCAGTGTGGTCAAGTGACTGCACGGTCGCACTATTGAACATGTTTGTGAGGTCTTTTTCTGATTTAGGGAGTAGCGGTAATCTCAAATGTACATATCCAGTCAGACCTTGCTTAACCGCACACATCCATTTTCCACTAAAATGTCCTGGTAGGCAAGGGAACTGAACACCGGTTATGTTGACTTCACCGCGTATGCTGTAAATCTGTAACCAGCTATTTTCTTCGGGTTGGCGAGGGATCTGGATAAAAGAGGACCGGATAAGCGAGGTCTGACTGTATCGTGTGATTTCATGCGACGATTGGCAGGGAAATGTTTTCATCACACATGTTGGAATGCCTTCTATCTGATTGGGAGATTTTGCACCACTGATCAAGCATATGATCTTTCAAATGCATGTTCCGCATCACAAGTGTATACAATATCTACCGTTGAAACTAGAACTTTGTGTATAGTGTGAGGATCATATACATATTGATGTTCATCGACCTGTCCTGTTTTGTCCGAGTACCTTTGCCACAGGTCTGTGTCTCTGTATGCTTACTACAGGAAAGGTGCAAACACTTCACACTCATTGAAGGTGCATCATCAAGATGTGCAGTTTACGCTACGTTTCATCATCTTAGGACACAAATGACTACTTTCAGACCAGCCTGCAATAAGGTACTACATGTGTGCCATGTAACATTCTGTGACTTACTCATTGCTTTATTCAGTGTGTTACTGAGGAAACGACCCCCGGCTGCTTATTATGCCCATGTCTGGTTTATAAAATTGAAAGAAACTGAGTGGAACCAGCTAGAGAGACAAACCAATAGGGAGGTTTCGCTCTACGTAATTACGTATGAAAGTCTGCATATCGTACGTGCCATGGAGAGACGGCAACTTTCATCCGTAAATCTCTCTAGCGATATCCGCAGGAAAGCGGTGTCCTACGTTCGGCCCTCAGTAGGATTTTTTGTATGGTTTTCGCAGTCTCTGGGTTTTATCCACGGCAAAGTTCAAGCTGCGCAAAAACACAATGTCCACAGCACGAGGAAAACTACCCTTCTATAATGTATTATATATACTAGTAAATCTGGAGAATGTGGTCTAGGTCCGTGGTGTATGCGGTGGGCGCATGCAGCGGGTGCGACTCCAATGTAGTAAGGCATGCTTCAGATCGCGGAGAAATAACGTAGAGCGAAACCCAACAGCACGGATTATCACGTATGAAAATTACGTGCAGTTCCTATGTAAGTTTCATAGTCAAGTGGTTTGCTTCACTGTCCGAAAAGTGCTCAGTACCCATGTAGGGCAGAGCATTGTACACAAAATAGAGAGAGAGAGAGAGAGAGAGAGAGAGAGATTGGAAGCTTTGTCACAACTCTGAGTTTCACTTATTACTACGATCATCAGGCAAGGCAGGTTGTCTGATGATCATAGTAATACGTGAAACTCAGAGTTGTGTGTAAGTTTCGTACGTAATTACATGGAGCAAAACCTCCCCGATGCCCCGCGGGTAGCTAGCAAGAGGGCTGCTTCTTACCTCGAGCTTTGTGTAGTACTACATGTCGAGTCGATTATTGGATAACAAATAAGATCGGTTATTACAAGTGCACTCGGAGTCCCTGGAGTGAAAGTTAATCGCACGATGAATAGAAGGAGAGGACATAGCTGATTTTTGTTCGGCAGCTTACAGCCGAACAAATGAACAGTGCTTTCTTAGTTCCGTCCCTGGTATTTGTCACTCTTCGAGGTCAATTTCCATTGGCAAGAGCTACAGCGTATCATTAGAACCTATGTGTTCTTTGAGTTGGAGGATTGGTGTTCCATTCTTATCGGTCTTCGGTTATGTTCTCCACCCTATTTGAGTTCTTCTTCTTACCATCTTTATAGAGGACTCTTTATGCCAGGTTAATAGTAGTCAGTTTAGTTATATTCTCTAATGAGTGACTCAAAACTCTGAGTAACAACAGAGAGAAGACTTTGTTGTTCCGCTGCTGTGGGAATGTTGTGTTACAAACTTGGCCCGGTTCATCGCAATTGTCGCTTATCTATCGCCTGAAGCATGATACATGAATACTCTCCGAAACTAGAACAAATTTCAACAATCAAATCTGATGAAAAAAGTCAAAGACATGAAGCAAGGCCAAGGTTACAAAAAATGTTTATACAAAAGAAAACAGCGATGGAACGCGTTGTTGCACTCACGCTTTCACAGGTCCTGAGTTCATCCGACTCTGTATCACTTGAGTTGCTGTCACTTGAGCTGACATTCGTTGGTGTGTTTAGCTGCTGGCGTAGAGTATCTCTTGCTTTCTCTGCCTGGTGTATGGCAGCGATGGGAAAGGAACAGTTGTGGCTGTCACTTCGGCGCTTTGAGGAAGGCGGGCAGCTTGACCTGTATGTCACCACCGAGTGTTTTAACAATGCCTTTAAATGAGGCACACCGCCCTCTCCAAACAGCTGTCATACGCCCCACTGGACATGCTGACCAGCTTCAGGAGTGCTAGTGCCACGACGGAACAACCAAAGCTTCTCGGGCATCGCATCGAAAACACCGTTCTTCTCCGGTATAACTCTGCCGTGACTGTCACGCTCTCCAGGTCAGGATGTCGATTTCCCCTGCTCCAGGTCCGGTCTTCGATCTGCTGCATGCCCTTGGATTTCGCTGCAGTGAATGTTTCCATTCACTGCAGCGAAAGGTTCCCCACTTTCCCATTAAATTCGTACGAATCGTAATGCCACTTGTGCTAGTCGCGATGATTTTTTTCTTTCTTGTCTCATCACAACCTCCCAAACGAAAGTGGCTAAGATATCGCGATCGGACTGGTTTTTGCCTGTCAAAAGGTACGTGGAAGATAAGCGACAATTGCGATGAAATGGATCAAGTGTAATTATGTGTGCATACTCTGAAGATGCATCATGTACAAATGTAAACATTGCTGGGTTGCTTTTGTGTGTCGCTGATTTTTAGGTGATTTACGGAGGCTGTTCCGAGAGGCAATGGACTGGTCTGCAATTACTGGTCCTGTATTCCTGTCAATGGAGAAGCGATTTGGCCAGATCTTTGTTGAGTATTCCTTGTTGCGATGTCCTCTTACTCTTTCCCGTTCTCATGCGTTCATCACCCTTGTAGTGGTTCTGGTAATAGGAAATAAAATCCTTTGAAGGGGCTCCCACACAATCTCAGCTGAAGCAGTTAATTATCTGGCTTTCCTGTGGGAGAGCAACGCTATAGAAGTAACCAGGTTGGGAAACCAAGTGTCTTCAAAATCCAATTTTGGCAGTTTATTCCAATTCCCGATTGCACTGGGTGAAGGCTGTTTATAGCCTAACTAAATATTCCAACATTCAGTGGAGATTCTAATGATTCACTCTGGGCAGATGTCAAATTTAGTCGGAATTGTTTTTCAGGCCAAACTCTGTGCGTTTACGATACATCAGTTGTGCAACGTTGAAGTCAGCAAGAGGTTGGAAGGGGGGGGGGGGAGGGGCATCGTGAATATGCAACCATGCTTTGGCCCTGACACTCACCAGAATTTAATTCCATTCCTTAAATCTGTGGTCATTTGTATTGAGTAAGGCTGTGTACTGTGTGTACTTTGTGTTATGTGTGTTATGTGTGTTCATTCCAGATTTTAACCTGCCAGATTTCCACCATGGTTCCATACCCCAAAAGGGAGGGGCAAAACAATGCAGCAACTTGGTGTTGCAGCATTGGTTTGCAAAAATGACAGGTGTTCCGTTCCATCATGGGGCTTGAGGGTTTGTTAGGACTGGGGCAGGGGGAAAGGAGGTCTGCTGGTGATTCCATGACCTTTCTGGTCTAAACAAAGACTGAAAGGAAACTACCGATCTCGCCAACTGAACTAAGCTGGATTGAAATTTAGTTTGGAAATCGGCAGCTATTGTACAGAAACTCTTTGCTTGCACTTGACAACCCACTATGGTGTTTTCACCATAGATGGGCTGAATATAAACCAAAATCATATTGAAATTTCCAAGGAAGATGTTGGGTGAAGAGTGTAATGCAGATCATGATCTGACATGTTCTATTTTCCCCAAAGGAGTACACTAGCAACAGACTGTCAGTAATAATACTTGCAGTAGTTACTAGAGACGTTTGTATTCCATCACAATATTCTCATAGGAATGTATGGTATGTTATGCAGTTCTTTTTGTACCATTATTTCTTCTTCTTTTTAATCTACTCTTATTCTCTTTCCCATGATTAATACTGAATATTTCCTGATACCAATTGTACCTGCATGGCTGCTTTTTCACCTGAAACAGATGTCGTCACACTGGCAAGCATATTGCAGTGCAACCAATAGTTTCTGGCTTTGACTGAAGAATCAGCCAGATGATGCTGAACAGTAACCTCAATCCATCCATTTTCATAACTCTTCACTACATATCACATTTTTACTATCCTAGAATTTCCTCTAATCACATTCCATCCTATATAATTTTTTTCATATTTTTGACCCTGTGCAAGGGAGAGTTGGTCCTGGGTGTATGCAAAGGGCTAACCCTGGGGTAGCAAGGAATAGATCAGGGTCAGGTAAACCCTGTAGGTCATCTCTTCAACATCAAGCGCTACGCTACGACCAGCTCAAGGCGCGGACCTACCACGTCTTTGGTAATTATGTCGTTCTGTTTTGTACCCGGTGTATAGTACTACACAATGTCATACTTGTAACCTTGTTTCCCTCTTGCATGGGCTGACACCTTGTGTATGCAATGGTTTGGTCCCGGGTTGCATGGGGAGGTTCACCTGGGCTGCAAGGGAGGGTTGGTCCTGGTTGCATGCAAGGGGCTTGCCCTGGGCTAGCTAAGCATAGATCAGGGTCAGGTAAACCCTGTAGGTCATCTCTTCAACATCAAGCGCTACGCTACGACCAGCTCAAGGCGCGGACCTACCACGTCTTTGGTAATTATGTCGTTCTGTTTTGTACCCGGTGTATAGTACTACACAATGTCATACTTGTAACCTTGTTTCCCTCTTGCATGGGCTGACACCTTGTGTATGCAATGGTTTGGTCCCGGGTTGCATGGGGAGGTTCACCTGGGCTGCAAGGGAGGGTTGGTCCTGGTTGCATGCAAGGGGCTTGCCCTGGGCTAGCTAAGCATAGATCAGGGTCAGGTAAACCCTGTAGGTCATCTCTTCAACATCAAGCGCTACGCTACGACCAGCTCAAGGCGCGGGCCTACCACGTCTTTGGTAATTATGTCGTTCTGTTTTGTACCCGGTGTATAGTACTACACAATGTCATATTTGTAACCTTGTTTCCCTCTTGCATGGGCTGACACCTTGTGTATGCAATGGTTTGGTCCCGGGTTGCATGGGGAGGTTCACCTGGGCTGCAAGGGAGGGTTGGTCCTGGTTGCATGCAAGGGGCTTGCCCTGGGCTAGCTAAGCATAGATCAGGGTCAGGTAAACCCTGTAGGTCATCTCTTCAACATCAAGCGCTACGCTACGACCAGCTCAAGGCGCGGACCTGCCACGTCTTTGGTAATTATTTCGTTCTGTTTTGTACCCGGTGTATAGTACTACACAATGTCATACTTGTAACCTTGTTTCCCTCTTGCATGGGCTGACACCTTGTGTATGCAATGGTTTGGTCCCGGGTTGCATGGGGGGGGGGGGGGGTCACCTGGGCTGCAAGGGAGGGTTGGTCCTGGTTGCATGCAAGGGGCTTGCCCTGGGCTAGCTAAGCATAGATCAGGGTCAGGTAAACCCTGTAGGTCATCTCTTCAACATCAAGCGCTACGCTACGACCAGCTGAAGCTCCAGCATCATCATCCTGGGTAATTATATCCTGGTTTGTATACTTGCGATGCATGTACTCTTAGTGCATCCCTGCAACTTTCCTTTGCATGTCTGATTTCATGTAGACTCTTTTGCCTTTGCATAGTTTTTAAATTTCCATGCAACCGTGGCCACATAGGCCGCTGTTGCATGGTTATGTTACTGAGCAGCTGTCCAATGTTTTGCTCACAACCCCCCAGATAGGTCACCTCAAGCCGCATGGCAGTTGATCCCAAGACTTCTCGGATATGGCAGAACGGTGCCAATGGGTAGAGTATACCTTGACCGAAGGTGCGTCAGATGTGTCTGTGTTTGCTGGGGGTAGCTCAATGCATGTACTCCAATCATACCGCAAGATGCATTCACTTGCTTCAAGTTTACCGAGTTGGTTGAAATGTGCTCAATATGGGTGAGTGAAGGGAAGATGAGATAAGCAAACAGCATAAAAAGATGCAATTGGCATTGTTTATACCATGTTTCCAGAAGCTTGCTTGCATTGGGTGCCTTGTGATTTGCTCTTTTCACCCTATCTTCATACCAGACCTTGATAGAATTATATTTGGAAAAGGGAGGGAGGGGTAGTTCAATGCATGTATTTCCATCACAAACTTCATGTAGATGCTTGAATCATTTGCTTGAATCAAGTTTACCGAGAGTGTTGGAATGTGCTCAATATGGGTGGGTAATGGGGAGACGAGATAAAGAAACAGCTAAAAAAAGCAGCAATTTGCATTGTTTATACCGTGTCTCAGGAAGCTTGCTTGCATCGAGCGTCTTGCAATTTTCTCTGTTTTACTTGGGTCTAACAGGTGGATGCTACCTATATTCCCACCAGCCCACTATTTGGGGGGGGGGGGGGGTGCAAGTATTCCAACTAACACAAATACAGTTCACTTACTAGAATCAAGTTTACAGAGTGTTGGAATGTGCTCAATATTGGTGGGTGATGAGGAGATGAGATAAGCAAACAGCACAAAACTGCAATTGGCATTGTTTATACCATATCTCCTGTAGCTTACTTGTATTGGGTGTGTTACAATTTACTCTGGTTCTTGCTAACTTTATTATGTTGCATATGTTAAAACTTTCATGCTCTTTGCAAACACATGCTATCACCACTCTACTAGTAGTGTGTGACGGATTTGTGTGTTCTGCTGTAATTACAACCCGTGTATAAGGTACATCGACGTGGACACCGCTGCCTGCTAAACCATCACGGGTGCCTGCTCCACCACTGCTCTGAATACCATCAGTTGCGTCATCGCTAGGGATGGGGTAGTGGACCTAAGCCCCATCCCAAAAGTCTACAAGGTAAATATCACCTGGTGATGAGTGCTTAAATTTATCTTGTTAGCAACACTGGCAGATGAGCAGTGCTATTTTTCAGCTCCTCTGTTATAGTGGACATTATTTAGCAAGGGAAGTTTTGAATTTCTACCATAACGTGCACTGTCTAGCCGTAATACTTGTTTGCTAAAGGCCCCGGACTGTAGTGACAGAATGTTTGGGGTGTAAGGATGCCTGGCCTTGATTGTTTGTCAGTCCTGTTTCAATGTAGGGGGTTTGCATGCAGCTTGGAGGGTGAATGCCCATTAAGTTCTGTCCCATGCATCCAGGCACTGCTTATCCGTGCACCCGCCTTATGTCCCGACATTGACAAAACAAAAATTTAAATTCAGCGCACGCTTCCCATATCCCTTCCACGATGCTGTCTGGACGAATTTGCCCGCCCATGTAAAACATTTCCTTGAAAGGCTTTGTGCAGTGGTGTTGGATAAGATAGATAAACTATGTGCATTGCACCGTGTTGGTGAAGACAAGTACTTTGTGATAGCATACACTGAAGGCATGATGTAGTAGAATGGTGTTTGATCTATTGCATTTTGTTTTCGAGTTACCCCGGCGCTGCAGATATATCTCCATCGTTTTGTCAAGGAATCACCAGCACCTCCAGCTTCGCCTATAAAATGCATTGTGCAGTGCTAGAAAAATGGTTCTCCTCACGGCTTCTCCAGTCTTTCATGTCTAAATTCCTTTCCAGAATGCCGCCATGACAGGAGCCATTTTTCTGATCTGCATAACGTAAAGCCCCGATGGAACGGAACACCTGTCACCCAGGGGTATGTTGGAAAAGGGAAATGTGGTCTCTAAAATTGAATGCTAGTAAAGTTAGATGCAAGACTTGCAGACCAAAAAAGCATCATTAATTTGAAAAAAAGGAAAACCATAAGAAATATTACTCCCGGTTAAAATCATGAAAAAAACGGAAAATAGGGACAGACCTATCGCCAATTTTTTCAGGGTGGTCGGCCATTTTTGTTTATGACGTCATTGCATACTTTCAGGTGGTCTCCATACAGTTGAATACCTGCCATACAGTTGAATACCTGCCATACAGTTGAATACCTGCCATACATTCAGATGCCTGCCATACAGTCAGATGCCTGCCATACGTTTAGATACCTGCCATAGTTTGATTAAGGTGGCAGCCTGGTCCTAAATTTCATATGGCATTCAATTAGGCCTTGACAGATTATGCTAATATTTTCGTGAAATTATGCTTTTCGCATTGCTGAAAAAATAATTGCAGCATTATGCTATTATTATGCGAAAAGTTGTCATATTATGTGGCATTATGCTCACATATGCTGCTAATGTATATGATGGTTCTGTGCAAAATAACAGGTGAATTGTTTTGTAGAGGGCGTTGTACTGTAGTAGCAAAAGTTCAACGGGGTCAACGCACCGTCCGACCTACCTATGACCGTCACCCTGGTCACTGATTGTAGTGGGCTGGACATGTTATCAAGTGAGTCGTAAACCTACGCCTTCCTGGTGTGTCTACTTGTACTTGTACTTGTAGAACATGTACAACTGTATGGAATTTGATGCGAACAGGCGGATTAGTCCAATTTTATGCGATTCGTATGCAATTTGCCTCGAATAATGCGATTATTCGATTTTGGTAGGAATTATGCGAAAAATTATGCTAGCATAATCTGTCAAGGCCTAACCCCAGTGTAAGCTTTCCCCAAATCGGCCCGGTGTTTTTCGCCCATTCGGCTTTTCGCTCAGCTCAAAAATACATCAGATTCGGCTGCAAAGTCAGCTGCTTGTTCGAAAATCGACTGGAAAATTGGAATACATGTACATGTATAGTGGAAAATCGGCTAAAAGATTTGTTGGCATATTGGCTTCAATGTTGGTGAGATATTGGAAGATTTGGTATATTTTCGGCGATTCTCAAAGGAACCCTCGAAAATCGGCGAAAAGCTTAGCGATTTTTCGATAAGTATCGTTTTCGACGAATTCTTCTGCTGCCAATTTGGAGATTTTACTAGAACCGGTAACGATCTTCCTAATGGTTAATGTTTGTGTGAGAGGAGGTCAAAGGACACGAAGCTTGTACACAATGCTGTAAAAAGTGGGTTTTTTGAACTTTACTTCCTGTTTTGCCTTTCGTGGACCCATAAATGGAAGAGTCCCTATTCATTTCTCAGCTTGGGTTCATATCTGAACATGTATCATGGCTATGCTTCACTGAAAAAAAGAGCACTTTTTGCCTGTTTTCACTGAAAAAAGAGCACTTTTTCAGCAAATTTTGAGGGACGCGAAAAGGACTAATAATAATAATAATAATTCTCGTCTACGTTCCAAAGGGAACTCACGACAATGGAGTGACAAAAAGCACCGCGGCAGAGAGAGAAAAGAGAAGATATGATATTTGACGAAAACAATCACGGTGTAGATTTCACATGAGTTCCAATACACCACATCAGCAAAGCTCTTTCTTAGAAAAATAAAAAATAAGATAAATGAAATGAAATCATTGGTCATCACAGTTAATCATGTGCGTCCACACCAAAATCACAGCCGGTCATGTGTGTTCACACCACCGCAGAACAAATGTTACTCCACTTCTGCCGGTCAACTGCACAACTTCTTAGGGTTTCGAGGTGCCGGCTCGTCTTCACTTCGACGGCGGTGAACTTGACGTCTTGCTGGAGGGTGGTGACTAAACAGGACCTTGGAGCTCCCCTCCTGTGCCTCATAGCGTCCTCCATTGATGCGTATGCAATCATTGCTTGATTGCCTGGTGTCGATGATGGCTGGCGTAGGATGTGTCCAAGCAGACGCCATCTCGCTCGCTTTGCCATAGCGGATATTGGCTCAGTGTGAGCAAGCTCATACAGGTCATCATTCGACACGACACGAGGGTAGAATATACCAAGCATATGCCGAAGTTGCTTGCGATGGATCTTATCCAGGGAGTCTTCCAGTGCCTTAGAGAGGCCTGCGCAGCCAATATTGTACGTGAGGATAGGAAGAACGTATGCGTTGTAGAGTCGTACCATGGTGTTAGTTTGTAGATGTTGCCGCCGAAACCAGATCGCCTTCATTCGACCAAATGCCACAGCAGAAAGACCAATCCTGCGTGTCACATCTTGTGCAGTGCCAAACAGAGAGCCCAGAGTCCTGATGCTTCTCCATTGCTCTTGACCACGGTGCACTGTTGTTTCTGAAACTGGTTCAAGGTACATCCTGACCCATTCCGTTTTAGAAACATTGACTTTCTGGTCCCACTTGTCGAAGATGTCCTCTGCAAGTGCCAGAAGCTGACGGAGGTATGTGTGGGACGTTGATATGAAGTCAGCGTCGTCGGCATATGCTGTTTCCGGTGGTATCTGCGCATCTGCAGTCGGTCTAGGTGGTAGTGATGATCGAAGATCACGTAGTGCAGCTTCGAGGTATACCGTAAACAGTACAGGTGAAAGTCCGTCTCCTTGTGGTATTCCCTTTGTGGTTGGAAATGCAGGTGACTTAAATGATTCTATCTTCACCTCAAGTGTCGTGTTGGCCATGAGGTATCGAATGATGCGTACCTCATCGTCATTAGCAATCTGCTCACTGCGGAGTACTTGCAGAAGCTTCTCTCTGTTCACAGTATCAAATGCCTTGCTGAAATCAAGGCCGAGGACATGAATTTCTGCACTGAATCTCTCCACAATCGACGAAAGCCACCTCTTGCACCAGACTACATCCGCCGTCGACCTGTTGCGGCGAAAGCCGGACTGCCCGGGTGAAAGGTACTTCTCCACTCCCGGACGGATTCTGTTCAAGATAACGAGAGAAAGGCTTTTCCTGAGTGATGGGAGCAGGATGATCGGACGGAGATTAGCAGTAGGGCCCTTGGGCTTTCCCGGCTTCTGCAACGGGATGAGGGTGCCTTTGCCGACTTCGATGCCTTGGTGTGTTTCGAAAACGTTGTTGAGAATTGATGATATTAGCTTGGCTGTCGCGGGTCCGCTATACTTCAGGAGCTCTGCTGGTAGCTCGTCAGGGCCACATGCACGTCCATTCTTGAGGCGCCTAAAAGAATGCACGACCTCATGCTGTGTAATAGGGCAGTCTAGGGAATGCCTTGGAATGCCTTCAAAAGGCTCAATGACCCTGCAGGTGGCTGGTCCATGCTGCTGTTGAAAGTGCTTAGCTACTACTTTGGCTTTCCCTTCATTATTTAGAATTCGCTTGCCATTCATATCCTCAACAGTAACAGCGCCATCACGCTTCGGTTGCAATTGCTTGACTACTGCAAACATCTGTGCATTGTCCTTGAGGTCTTCAATTCTCTTCACTTGCCCGTCCAGATAGTCTGATGCCAGTTGACGTGACTTCCTCTTTATTTGGTTTATTTATGCGAAAAGGACTAAGTGCGAATTAAAAGAGCACCTTTGGGAAAGGGCTACCTGCAAGCAAATCAATGCGACCATTCATATTACAGCTGGGTCATGTTATAGACAGGTGCATTGAAATTGGCAGGTGGGCATACATGTACATGTACATGTAAATAGTCAAAAATTGACATTTTCTCATCTTTCTGCCCGTTCAAACCTCAAAAGCTGACAATGACCACCCTGATCTTGGTGAATAGCCGGGCAAAGGGAAGTGGACAGAGAAAAAGGCCACATTTCTTTAAACAACTCGCCCAGGGCTGATGAAAGCCGAAAATAACCTCTCTCCAAATTTGGCGCTTTTTGGCTGTGGTTCTTGACTTTGCGACTAAACTATTTACAGCAGTGCCAAATACCGGTCACTAAATGGAGGTGCAACCGGCCTACAAGCAGACCAAACATTCAAACCAATGTAACCACTGACATTACAGCTGGGTCATGTTATAGACTGGCACATGTACATTGAAATTGACAGCTGGCCATACACTGTACATGCAAATGGTTAAAAATTGACAATTTCTCATCTTTCTGCCCTTTCGATGCTCAAAAGCTGTCAGTGATCATCTTGATTTTGTTGAA